AAGAACTCACTTTCTTCTAAGTCTTAAACAACAAATCATTTCTCTTTGCTAAGAATTAGTGTGTAACTTAGATTGTTTAGATAGATTATCTTTACCTTATCTTTCCGCAAACAATCTTGTAAAATTTGTATTGATCTTTCTTTATCAACATACATTTTAAATTTGAAAAGTTTATTGTGTTTGTATTCATCCCCTTCTCCTTCTATAAATTGTTATACACATCTTGTAGACCCTAACGGGACCAACACTTACTTTGTGTTTCACTACGATCTACAGAAAAGGGTCTTCCCTATCATCAAAAGGTGTTATTTTGGGTATTGAGTTTTATCCATGTTTTCAATGATGTTTCAAGTATGTAGTATTTTCCATAATTTATGATTTTGGGTATTGAGCCTTACCCATGTTTTAGTGTTTTGGATAATAGAGTTCTATCCAAGTTTCAGAACTTTAGCATTGAGCTTTAGTCACGTTTTGAGTAAGTATTGTATTTTGAGTACATATTAAGTGGGAGTTTTGATTTGGGGTTTTCATCATGAAAAATATGGTTTTCGGAAAGATGATTATTTTATGATATAGACATTTCATTCGTGAAATTATTATTTAAATAATAAGTCGTTCAGTTTTTACCATGTTTATAATTATGAGAAAATTGTTTGAACTCCCTAGGCATTAATTATAACCATTTTTATTTATCAGAATATGCATCAGGTCATTGTTTGAGAATGGTACTAATGACACCGTGAAAAGTTGAGTGCTAGTTAGATGCATGAGAAGAATTTAGCTATTCATAAACGTCTTCCCTATTTTGGTATAACAACTTTATTTGAGTTTTAATAATACCCGACCTTGGCCTAGACTTTATGCAATGTTTGATTTTTCATTTTGTTTATGTTAAATCTAGAATCGTTATTTGAGGTAATCAAGTATTGATATATAGAAAGGAATTTATCCTTTTACTGACGTATTATCGAAAAATAAAAATTAGTCGATCTTCCAGATTTGAGGGTGTTACATAGTGTTTTCATTGAAAATTACATACAATTGACAACTAATTATATCTATGAAAATGTGTTACCTTTCAGAGCAACGATAAATGTGAAAATCTATTTTGGTATGAGAAAGCTTAAAAGAGCTTTAGTACTTGACAATTGCTATACTCCTATGGTGTAGGATGAAGATATTGTATCATGATAGGATTTACAACTTTTAACATAAATGATGTCATATCAATAGCAATCGGCTTGTATGGACTTTTGGGATGTCATCTGAACCGATAGTTGGATATCTATGAAAGTACTTTAGTACCATTTCGTAGTACTATAGGATTGTCCAATGGTGCTATAATATCTTTCTAACCTGATCATTTCTTTTTGTCTTGACAAACATTTGCATCATTTGCTTCTTCTTTTACGACTGATTTCTTAGTTGATAACTCTCTCTCTCTCTCTCACACCCCAAACGAATTCTATGCTTTCGCCATCTGAAATTGGTTTTTAAAGATTAGACTTTTAGAAAACTTTTACAAGCCCTACTTATGGATAGATATTCGGTATTTTTACCGTTATTACTTGTTAAAAGATGACAATAGATCAAGGTGTATACTTGCATTGAAATCTATTTGCATAAATATTGATGTTGCATAAACTTCACCAACAATAGGATTTCTTCCTCTTGGATGACAATAGTGATATCCTTGACCCCTTGATTGAACAGTACTGAGAAAGTGCATACATGCTCAAATAGTCAGTACATGATACTGATATATGTCTTATTAGTATATTCTAGAATCAAGAAATTAAATATCGAACATAATGAGGATAACACTTCTATGCCTCATGTTCAATCTGTATATCGCAGACAAAAGGACATAAATGTATATACTGATAATGATCATACAGTTTGTTGATTAGTTGAATCACCAAACTTTATTATTTGAGTAATGATAATATATTGCTAGATGTTGCTCTTCGTTTATTATGATAAATAGGATTTATAATCATTGCCAACATGATAAAGTCCCAATGTATCACATGCATAAAATGTATATCTTAATAAGGAGAATAAATAATTAAAATGTTTAATTATTATACATGATTTTGTGATACTTAATTTGATTAAATATAAGCATATCAAGGCTAGCTTGTTCAAACATGGAATAGAATTGACAACTTTCGACTTGTTGAACTAATGTATGTGCAAAAGAAAAAACAATAGGGTTGTGGAAGACCCGAATTAACCTGATGAACCCTTCAAACCTGAACCGAATTTTTGAAAGAAAACGATAACTGATTATTAATAAAACCCAAAAAAGGAGAACCGAGTTTTAAGTAGGATTATAGGTTTCAAGTTGGATTTCCATACCATCCACCCGAAAACCTGAAATAACCCTAAACCCATCTAAATCTAATTAAAAGTTAAAACATCATGTTACTTATTTTCTTTTACTACTGTTATTATTTGTGATCTTTTTTACATACACATGCAATATGCATCATCCATCAATATGCAATATGCAATATGCAATATGCAATATGCAATATGCATCATCTATCATGCATGCTTACGGTTGTACTTACAGAAGCATACATACAGATATATCTCTGGATCTCCTTAGAATTGCAAATTTAAGTCTAAACAGTAAACTTTTTCTTCCCGTAGACCACCATTCCCCATACTTCTAAGACTATATTTGTACATCATTTTTAGTTAAATCCTTGGTATTTTAGACTTTTAGTACCAGCTCTTCTAGACTTCAATGGAACACTCTAGTTGTATGTATCCACATGAACCTGTCCGAACAGGTCCTACCTGATTTTCACCCAAACAGAAGAAATCCCATCCCGAAATCATGAAGGTCGGGTCTTGCTACCCAACCCTGAAATATGATCCACCAAAATTCCTCGAAAGTGTCCGATGCTCCCCTAGATAAACATGCCTTTAAAAGATATGATATGAGATCTTCTAAAAATATCAACCGTTGATCCCAAATGACACTTGTAATACTTGTTTACCATCATTACACGTATATAAATAAACCTATTATGAGATAATGGTAGGTGCTGGTTGCAAGAATTGATCATCTGATTCAATTTTTTCTCTCTATATTCCACAAGCTCTTCTTTCTTTATTTGGATACTTTGTTGTCATATTAATTAGATAAAATTATTGCCCCACTTATTATGTTTATGTTTTATTCTATGTTATAAACAAACATCATAACCACCTTGGAATGATGTACTCAAAACATAAATCTCATCTACATTGAAGTTGAAGTAATACGACAACGACTAATATATGTTGGGATGTCATATTGAGATATGAACTCTACATATAGATACAAGATAGAGATCACGAGTGTCATAAGTATTTTTCATATGGTCTTTATATATATAGTCCCTTGACTTGAGAAATGGAGTTTGTTATATGCGAGTCGCATACTTTGAACATCATGTCTAGTCATTTGGTAATTTGGTGACAGAATGGTAGTAGGAATATCACATGGTAGTATTAGCATGTATCGACATCGCATCTCTCCCTCCTATATGACGCGAGTGATATCTCTAGACTCATTGATTGAATGATAGATATTGAGGAAAAACATGCATGCTCAGATGATCGATAAAGAGGATATCAAAATATATACATTTTATCAGTATATTCAAGAATCAAGAAACTAAGGATTTGACATAATGGGGATGACACAAATCATGCCTTGTGTTCAGTCTAGACATCAAGGACAACGGACAAAATGTAGACATTCATAATGATTAAAAAAGTTTGTCGTGTTTCCACTTCAATTGATCATCACATGGTACTTCAGCACTTATTCCCTTACTTCTTCGGTACTTGCCTCAACTAAAGGTACACTAATCATATGTATCAGTTGTTGATTTGTCACACCTTTCTTCGATTTATTTTAACTGATCAAATTATTCACTTTGTCTTCTATCTTGATCAAGTTTTTCTTAGATTTTAGTAGACACCTTGAATATTATAATCCAAGAATTAGATGTACATTAGAGGTTTGTCAATCGTCAAATCTAATAAAGATATACCTAACACAGTAAAAAGTCATTTTATGTTAAAATTTGATGTATGACTTTATTTAAATTTCTTTATAGATGGATGACGAGTTTAATATTTGTTGTAAAGTTTGATGAACTTTATTATCCAAATATTGAGGGGGTGTTTGGGATTGCTTATTTAAAACAATTTATGTTTTTTTTTTTGGTAAAAGTGCTAATTAATTTATGTGGTATCAAACCGAAGTTTTGTAAAAATTGTTTGGATTAGCTTATAGCGGTACCAAAAAGCAATAAGTTGATAAGTTGTTTTTTAGTGTTTGACAAATTTTGCTTATACATGTAAAATGACCAAAAATGATAGTTTTCCATATTATCGACTTGTTTGATTTTTTAACATGTAAAAACTTATTTTTCATCATTTATAATAATTTATTTGACAAAAAATTATATTAATAAGATTAATAATTTATATCAATAAGATTAATAATTAATAAACATTAATAAAACATGGTTATAATGGTAAACTAGTAATAAACAGTTTTTCATAAGTCAGAAATGATTAACTTATCAAAACTGCTTTTTACCGATTTGACACCGGTATAAACAGTTTTATTTTTCATCATCCAAATACTAACAGTTAACTTATCATCGATGTCAAATTAAAATAAATCAAAAAACACCTAAAATAAGCATTCCCAAACATCCATTGAATTATATCACTATGGTTTTAATTCGAGAGAGAGAGAGAGAGAGAGAGAATTGTTTTTAGGGTAGGTTGCTTGGTGAGATGGATATATACAAATACAATGCCCCAAAAAACGCGTTTGAAAGACACATTTATTGTAGTCAAAGGCCATGCTTTCGCCGGAAGCACCAGACCACCATAATTCAACTCTCTCTCTCTCTCTCTCTCTCTCTCTCTCTCTCTCTCTCACCACATACAGTCAAAGTCCAACCCCCCATTAAATTCAAACAAACGCTGCTTCGAATCCCTTTTGATTTTTGATTCCCAATTGTTCAAATCAAAACAAAACAAAGCAACTCACACCCTTTACCTACTACTATTCAAGAATCAAGAGCAAGCCAGAAGGATTGTCAAATCTAAATCTCTACAATCTTCCCTTTCACCTAATCCATCATCATCGTCAACGAAGCGAAGTTGTAAGCTTTCATCTCTATTCTGTTCCTTCAATGAAAGATAATTCTTTCATGGAAGACCCATCATCCAAAAACAACGCTTTGACCACAACTCTTAAGAACTCAATCCAAGCACTTGGTAGAGGATTTGATGTCACCTCTGACATCAGGCTATTGTACTGCAAAGGTGCACCTGGGTCTCGTTTGATTTACTTGGATGACGAACATACCAAGGAACTTGTTTTCTCAGATGATGGCTTTGTCAGCATTCCTAATGTTTCTGTTGATATCGAGTTTTCTAAAGGTGAAAGAACCACTGAAGCTACACCTGTTTCGAGCTTCCATGAGGTCTGTTTCTGTATCTTTTTTAGTTTTCAGTAGATAAGTTCTATTGGGTGTGTTCCAATTATTACAATTGAAATTTCTTTTGTGAATGATTGAATCATGCTATTGTTTCGGAATTTGAAAGATATTTGGGTATATTCAAGTTCTTGAAATTTTAGATGTTTTGGGTATAAGAAGTGTTGTTGGAATTTAGTACTCTTTTGTTACCAATTTTATGTGAACCTTGTATTGACATGTTCTTAGCTTGGTGTAAATTGGCTAGATTGATATTGATTTTGTGGCATTAAATGGTAGCTTGATAATTATCCATTATATGGCAAAAGTTGATTGATTTAAATATTCAGGGTTAAATCTTTTTGGAAACTTTTGCCTTGTTCTTGTTGTGATGTCGAACCTAGTTGACCAGTGGCTAAGGCCCGACCCTTTGGAACAAGGCTCCTTGGTTTCCATGGGTTGGGAGGGAAAGTCTTTGATGGAATGTTTCCCTCACTTTTTGCACACTCACACCAGTGATCGTGGTTCACAAGAGATGAAAGGACCAACCTGTTGCATAGGTTTAGTGTGTGCATGCAATGCAATATCTGGGCTAATAGGATGTTTCTCATCCCTGAGTCTAAATATGAAGCCAAGATGATCATTGTCTAAATTTTATGACATTTCTTTGATAGAAGCCACTATTGAATTACGTGACTATGGGAATCGTCATTTCCCTCCTTTTGTTTATGCTTGAGACTGTTGGTATTAAAAGACTGGGAACCCCTTTAAGTCAACTTGATATGCTTAGTACATCTCATCTTTCTATGTCGGTTAATTTCTACACCTTCTCATAAGGATTTAATCCATGTTAGTTATATTAAAGTTGCTGCAAGTTTTATGGCTAGACAACTCTTGCTCTCCGTTTCCAAGAACTCCTCTAGATTGTAATCCTCCTTTGAGTCGATTAAGAACCATAACTTCATTACTTTTGTGCACCCTACATTGATTCAGCATTCTTTGGATCATTTGCTTCAAGGATCTTTAGGTTTCTACAGTTTGACTTTTTTCTTGGGTTGATGAGCTTGATTGATTGCAATTAATAGACTTAATTACTCATGTGCACATCTTTATATTTTAGCATTAATTAGTTTTTACACGTTAGTGCCTTGTGCATTAAGTTTTGAATCTATGACCTTCAGTCATGAACCTATCGATCCAAGGCCCATCACAGAAGGCGGAGAAAAACTTAGTGGTTTACTTCAAGGGAAGAGTTTAGCAAGAGCCATTTTAAAGTGGCTTCTCTTAGTTTCTTTGAAAAAGTTAAGTTACCATGCGTAAATCGTTGATAGGCTTATAAATTATAATCCATCAACACCTTAAGCTACAACTTCCACAATAAATTAATGATAATGGTTATGCTTAGTTAATACATGACGATAATGACATCCAAATTTTGATATCATAAAATGTATGGCGATATGATTTTCCATGCAATGGTTTGAGACATAAAAGTAGGTTGTACATTTACATCACATATAGAATAAACAACAAAAACAAAGAAAGATTTGGGGTATGCACTTTAGGTGTTCTCTTAAAGTCGATTATTTATATAGCATGTAGTGGCTCAAAATAGAATTTTTAGGTTATAACACTTGGTTGAACACATCCTATACCGATTTACTCACTTAATGAGATACTGGCACCTTTATCCATGCACTTGAATATTTTAAGATGTATGGATGAAATAGATTTGGAGAGAGTAGAAGAGAGGGATACATAGTAAGACATGAACCATAAGAACGATTACTGAACCATTTAGTAAGACCTTGCCGTTTCTTGCCATTTTGAAAAATATCTAAAGGGAACTAAGTTTTATATAAGTTAAAATATCTTAGATCAACCCAAGAGAAACGCTATGCAGTTGTACTCTAGAATAATGGTTGGAAAATATCTTTCAGGTGTGAACGTTTCCATTTCTAATTAGACACACTTGGGCTTTAGTTTTCCTTGAAGTCTTAACTTTAGATTACTAACATATCTAATAGAATGGTAACAACACTAACGATCTCACCACCCAATAACAATCTATTGTTCCTTAGGATTATCCTTCGTTCAAATATGGCATTGGTAAAGGGGATGACTAGCATTTCACTAGTTGGTAGATGCTGCAACTTAACTATACACTTCCTAACCAATTTTCTCACTTTTAAAGAATGGAAAATTGCAAGTTCATTCTCACATTACAAGGTAAACCGGTTTCTGGAAACTGGTCTTTTCAAATAATATCTTTACCTGCCAATAACAGGCACACATTTCAATTCCTTTGTGTACATTCCGTGCATGTTTGTTACTTGAACTTCCCTGCAGCTGCTCTTTCTCTAAGGGGCTGTTTGGTTGGTTTTCCATAAAGTCCTGTGTGGATGAAGTGTGTGCGGATTAATCTGTCTGCATATATTGGAAAGGATGGAAGGTGCGTGTTCTCTCATTGGGACGGGCAGTTTTGGCAAAAATTTGGCTTTCTGCATAAAGCTCCCCCTATAAGCGTACTGAATAAGCCACTTTCTATATCATTAAGCTACTCCCAAACAGTTATGTATAACTGACCGAATAAGCTGCGAGTCTCGTTAAGCTCATTAAGCTGCTAACAAGCATGCCTGTAAAATTGATTGCTAGTGAAGTTTGCATTTAATAACGAAAACCTCAATCTGCTTCACTATAAGATTTAAAGTAGATACGATACATGAATAATGCAAAACCATAATCGATAATACGTATAAGATGTCTTAGAACTTTATGAAGTTATTCTAATTTTAACAATCATGACTTTGAATTGTGTAAATCTTCTAACTTACCAGCGGTAAATGCAAAGTATGGCATTTCGAAATTCATCGGTCTACTTCTTTTGTTCTTTTCCTTGAATCATCAACATGTGTCAAGAAGCCTATGGTCAATAGTCTCGTAAACATTGATTATGTATGGAAATATAATAGAATATATCGTGTTATTAGTTCTGTAGAGGATATGGAATAACGTTGTTGCTATGTTTTAGAATCTTGCTCACATACCAGCATTCATAAATAACTCAAAACAGCTATCTGTCTCTTCTTTTTTATGTGATGTGGTACATGTGTCCTGGCACTTTAATTAGGAATTGATAAACCTTATGAGGGCCAGAAACTAGCGGTGTTTCCTAACCTTTAATAGGTGTTTATTTCATTCAATTTTGCTATCTGTCCTAACCCTTTTTATGTGATGTGAATCTTCTCAATTTCTTGATCTTCTGATTCACTTATCTTACACCCTCACACATGCAACTACGGTATTATCTTCAATTTTCTAACCTTTCTGAACTATGGGGGGACCCTACTTCCAAGTGGGATTTACTGGTTCTGTTTGGTTTCATATTCTAATTGCACTTGCTTTTACCATCAATCTACCAAACCTTTGTTCATTGCTTAAAGCTTGTTCGGTAGTTGGATATAAGACTAACAATTTATAATTTCTTGAAATATATTATGACCTATTGATTTTTTGAGTTATGGCATTTATTTTGCAAATTCGATTTGCATATGCTAATAAAAGAATGATTCCTTTGAAAAAGAAGTTCCTTTAAATGCTGATTGGTCTTTTTGGTAACATCAGATGGCAAAATACTTCAATAAGAAATCCAATCTTGCTGGGGATATTCCTCTTGGAAGCTTCAATGCGATGTTCAATTTTACGGGATCTTTGCAACTTGATGCAGCATCAACAAGATCCCTTGCAATGATTGGATACATAGTTCCATTATTTGAGGTCCGTTTAGAAATTTCTGATTTGGTTTTGCTTCAAGAAGTCAAGCGTGCTGTTCCATATTCCTGGGATCCTGCATCTTTAGCAAGGTAAATCATTTTTCACCGTCTTTGCTTATGCATTGTGAATATGTTACTACTTGGTTTGTTTCACATCCACACACACACACACACAAACACCATAAATGGTAACAAGTCAAGTGGGCTTTTTTTTTATTACTGCATATCTGATAGGAATTCAAAAAATTACAAAAAAGTTAACTGTGATCTTAAATGTTATAAATATATTGAACAAGGGAAAATGTAAGTTTGACCTGGAGAGTGTGACACACCTCTTGTTGGCGATGGAAGTATGGTAATTGATGTATAACAAGCCAAAAACAAGATTCCGACTTTCCTATTTCCTCTTTGTAGTTAACTATATTATCTATACTTATGAATACGTTAATTAAAATAATTTGGATTATATGGTTAATCTACACATACCACAGCTTAAATTTCAATATTTTCATGTTGTATGACGTTTTTAGAAGCCGTAAACTAATTATTAAACAAGACTGTGATATTTCTCGAACTGATAGTGGTGACCTATGAATAGCTAATGTCATCTTCCGTTTTCTAACCATAAATTCACCACTTTTCAGCTTTATTGAAAATTATGGCACCCATATTGTCACCTCTGCGACAGTTGGAGGAAGAGATGTTGTTTATATAAAGCAGCATCAGTCATCTCCTTTGTCGTTATCGGACATTGATAGTTATGTGAAAGACATTGGAGATCACAGATTCTATGATTCAAAAAGTCAATCAAGTTCAGGCCCCTTAAAGTACAAGGACAAGGTCGGTTTAGCTTGTTTTCCATATTTACATATATATAGGGTCAAATTCAGCGGAAAACCACAAAAAAATGAAAATGAGGAAGACCCTAATGACCATTCATCTGTGCGATATGCAAGCGTGCATAACATGCACACGTCCTGTATGAACATGTGCATACCATACAGATGATGGTTATTGGGGTGTTTCTCAGTTTTTCATTTTTTGGGGGGTTTTCCCCTGAACCTCTCCCCCCCCTCTCTCCCTTGCTCCTTATATATGTTTTATATGTGTGTGTGTATATACATATATAGACTTGGGATCACGTGAGACCAGCCTATTTTCGTGAGACCACTTTTTTACACTTGAAACTTCATAGCAAAATGCTGTGAAGGTAACCTTCACAACGTTTTGGCTGTGAAGGTTTTCGGCTTTTTTTACCTTCACAGCGTTTTGCTGTGAAGTTTCAAGTGTAAAAAAGTGGGGTCATGGGTCTCACGGAAACAGACTGGTCTCACGTGAACCCAGCCCTATATATATTGGGGTGTGTGTGTGTGTGTGTTAGTTTGTTTTTGCTATTCTTTGGTGGAATGAGATTGATTTACTGTGGTTGCTTATTTACCATTTGACTACAGGATGTAACTGTAATTTTTAGACGAAGAGGAGGTGATGATCTTGAGCAAAGTCATGCGAAGTGGGCAGAGACTGTAGAAACAGCACCGGATGTGATCAATATGACCTTTACTCCTATTGTTTCTTTGCTTGAAGGGGTACCTGGAATAAAGCACTTGACCCATGCCATTGAGTTATACCTGAAATGTGAGATCTTATTGCAATTTCTTTTTCCCTTTTCATTAACAATAATAATTTGAAAAGCATAGAAATTTCTATAAAGATACCCTAACAATTAATATTTTCATCCTCAAAGTCAATGGGTCTTCACGGAACAGCCTCTCTACCCTTTGTGATATATTGGGTTTGTCTGGTTTGGTTTATCCTCCAAGTCGTTATTACTCTCTCCATCACATGAAAATCACAAAAATGTCCGCATTGTCCACAAGATCCCTTCGTTTGCCATATTTGAAGGTATTTTTTGGACACATGACTGATAGTCAAATACTAAAATATACATGCAAGTCAAATGTTGCATTTTTCATCAGATGGAGGGAATGAGTTGAAATGAGATTCTGAGCGGACATATGAAAAGCTAAATTTTACAACATCCGCAAAAAATATGTGAGGGTAAACCAACTGTGATTGTTAAGAGTTAGATTCACTCGAAGCATTGTATTCTTATTATTTATTTCTTCCCCAGTCAAGCCACCTATCGAGGACTTGCAGTATTTTTTGGAGTTTCAAATTTCTCGAGTTTGGGCTCCAGAACAAAGTAACATTCAAAGAAAGGAGCCGGTTTGTCCGTCACTTCAGTTTAGTTTGATGGGTCCGAAGCTTTACATTAGTCTTGAGCAGGTATACTTGAAAATCTTATGTGCTCCTTTCTTTAGTGTGTATATATATATATATACATATTTATAGACTGCAAAGTATATAGAAACTGTCTAAAGAAACCACTGAAAACCAGTTTCATAGACTAAACAACACATGTAAAAACCAAATCCACCCGTGAAAATCAACCAAAATCATCAAATGAGTTTGATTTTAAGCTATGATTCATATTGTTTCACATGTCTTGTTCTTGTGTGTAGGTATGAGTGTGTGTTTCATGTATAAATGTATTTTTTTGTTTTTCTCACACGCAAAACATTCCTCGGTGTTTCATGTATGAAACAGTACTGTTTGAATACTATTAGACCTTTTGCTTACATAAATAAGAGATTTTCAGAGTGTGAGTAGAATCTTTCCATTTAAGAATGATGACATATAGGGGCGGTTCGTTTTTAACTTGATGGGCTTAATGGTCTGGAGGGCTTATTCGCTCAACTACATTGAGGTGTTTGTTTGCAGCTTATTGATTAAGACTGTTTAATCAACACAACAGTTTAGCTTAATCCATACATGACTTTAATAGAAAAACAATCAAACAGCCCCTTATTGTCCAAGGGGATGAATAGTTGAACGATAATACTTGATATTGGAATTGGAACCATTTTGTGCTTAGCTTGAACAATATCGGGCCCGTCCGTAAGTGCTAACATTCTGTGAGGTCGGGGTTCCATTTCCAATTTGTCCACGAGAGTCGAGTAATAGAACATAGCTTGTGCATGTTTGTAGTACATAGCTACCTCCAATTTTTTAAGTGGACTTAGAAAGTCTGTGGGTTATTTAGAAGAATAACCTGCTGATAGGTTTTTTAAATGCATGATCATCTGATAGATTTAAGAATGCCTCTGCCTAACATAAGAATGCCTCAAAATCTATTAGAAGGTCATACATTTAAAAGAAATATGTCCGAAGGTTATTTTCTCAAATAATCCTGTCTTTTTGGCTTGTCAATTTGCAACACTGAAAGAATTCGACGTTTTCGTTTTATATAATTCTATGTGACACATCATCCAAGTTGTCTTAAACTATAAAAGCACAAAATAGGCAATAGAACTCTTGAATGATATGTGGCTATTCCTTATATCCCTTGAAAAGTTAGAAGAATGTTTTGATTTTGTGATATCCCAAGAAAGTTACAACGTTCTTTCTTCGGAAAAATTCTAAGTTAAAATTATTTGTATACCCGTTGTCATCATTACACCGATGAAGGGTGCTCGGTTCCTCCTTTTGTCTTCTCTGATGGTAGTTTAGACATGGGCAAAATGCAACAAAATGCGGCGAAGTTTGCCTTGATTCCTATATAGTGTAACAACATATTTTTTTTCTCAAACAATATAATAAAGTGTCAAAAGTTTCTATTTAATGTACCCATTTTGACCAGTAACTGGTTGATCTTGTAACATTTTATGACATTGATATCAAGATTATCATTCACTTTGTTGTAACCATTTTATAAACATTTCATAAGTAAGTATTCACATCATCAAATTTTACAAGATCAACAGGTTACCGGTCAAAATGGGTACAAAATAGAAAATTTTGAAACTTTGCTACATCGATTGAGAAAATATTATTCATTACACTTAATAGGAAATTAGGAACTAAACCAAACTTTGTTACATTTTGATGCATTTTTCCTTCTACTAGGTCACGCGTTAAGTACAATATTGCAATATTAATCGGACAAAGCGATCGACTACTTTATGGAATTAAATGGTTTTTTTTATCGATTTCTGTTCATCGGTTGGATCCCTTGAATGTCCAGGTGACAGTTGGACGTAAACCAGTCACCGGACTCCGACTAAACTTAGAAGGAAGCAAACAAAACAGACTAGCAATCCATTTACAACACTTGGTCTCCCTTCCCAAAATCCTCCAACCCCATTGGGATGCACACATGGCCATCGGTGCACCCAAATGGCAAGGTCCTGAAGAGCAGGATAGCCGTTGGTTCGAACCCATCAAATGGAAGAACTTCTCGCATGTAAGTACTGCACCCATTGAACACACCGAGACTTACATTGGCGATCTCTCTGGGGTCCACATTGTCACCGGGGCCCAGTTTGGCGTATGGGACTTCGGTGCCAGAAGCGTCCTACACCTCAAGCTTCTCTTCTCCAAAGTACCAGGTTGTACCATACGCCGATCTGTATGGGATCATAGCCCATCCAACCTTCAAAAAGGCGGAGATGATAAGGGAGATAGTTCAAGCCAATCTGGGAAACTGGCGAAAATCGTAGACATGACCGAGATGTCAAAGGGCCCACAAGACGTTCCAGGACATTGGTTAGTCACTGGGGCTAAACTTGGGGTAGATAAAGGGAAGATCGTTCTACGCATAAAGTACTCGTTATTGAATTACTGATGATGGTGGTTGTGTCATGGTAGATTCATTCGGGTAAGCATTTTTTGCACAGGTGATCGTTCTTTTTGTGCATTTTGTCAAAGTAGAGTTTACCATTTTGTTGGTTCGTGTCGAGATTTGTTTGTAGTTTGATGAATTAGGGGTTGTTTACTACCTGCTTATCGCCAAAGATGCTGCTATTTACCAAGCTCCTGCTTACTGGATCGAGATGCTGATCTGGCAAGTCAAAGGCGGGACTTATATGATCAACGAGTAGTGTTGACCCAGCATGGTTAGCACTTACCCAGTTTATGTCGGTAAATGATACTTGGGCAAGTTTACTTGTTTTGGGTTCATACATGTATATGCTTTACACCAAAGTAGAAGTCTTGTAGGATTGTTGATGGTGGATTATGAAACATGAATGAGTATTCTTTCAATTTATGAGGCCATGTTTGTCTGCTTGTATATTATCTTTTCAAGTTTATATTTTAACTGAAATTTAGAATTGGGTATAAACATTTTTGGAAGTTTAGTATTCAATTCCTATCTGTAGACCGTTCGGATTGCAGGCTACAACTCGCCTGCATGAAGTCGGAATCGCTAGTAATTGCCAGTCAACCATACGGCCTTATCCCCCTTTCCTGGCCCTTCCTTTAAGGGGTTGTTGTGTAAGACGTGAATAACGTCCTCGGGAACGCCCATAAATTTTATCATCCACTTGATGAGTTAATTTCTCAAGACCTATTGTAAAATCTAATGAATTGCTTAAGTGACAACACATAGGATAATATGTTAGACGCTTTGGAAAACACTCTATTAAGGTCCGGATTTAGACCGAGACCCCTTTGTTAAGTTAAGGGTCGGGTTATGATCTGGTCGGTCTCTTATCAGTTATATTTTTCGAAGAGCAAGTTATGATCAAGTTTTTTGGAAAGCACCACCACATGACGCTTCCCATGTTGGTCTTGTAAAACTGTTTGGTTATATTGGATTAGACCTTAAGGATGGATTATATTCTTACTTACACATTTTGCAATTTGCACTAGGACTGGAGCTGGATTCGGTTATACAGTAACCAATTATGTGATGAACGAGAGCCCTTCAACACAGGATTGAGAGCGGTTATAACCGATCAAAGTCCCCATCATAACTGGTTTTTATTCAAATCTCTTTGCCACCAACATATCCAAGGAATTGATTATAAACCATTCGTCTCTTAAAGTTATTTGAATTGAAGAACCAAAGTGAAATAAACTTTATATTGGTTCTTATGAACAAAAAATTGGTCTATCATGTTCTTAAACAAAAAATTCAAAACGTTGATTTTCAAAAATATGAGTAAATGCAAAATTAGTTTTATTTGAATAAAATTTACCCAAAAATAAACCATCAGGAGGTATCAGGTTCAAATCCAAGGAAGAATAAATGTCCCCTTGTGGCCACGGAGGTTCAAATGCGGTGACTCTAGGCTATCTGCAAAACAGGTGGTCGCCATAGGATTAGTCGGCTTGCATAACGGTATGGATATCCAGGTTAATAAAAAAAAATTACCCAAAAATATATTAAAACAAACAATATCATCATTATTGTATTTTAAATAAATACATCCAATATAGTTGAAGAAGTACATCAACAAAAATAAATAAATACATCCAATATAGTTGAAGAAGTACATCAACAAAAATAAAGATTGATATGTTGTTATTGTATGTTTTTTTAATGAAAATTGACTTCAATGACCATATTCCACAATTAAATTGACCTTCTACCAATTTCTCTTCGGACTTTACCTAAAAATGACTACTCCGTAATACCTATGTCTGCAATAATTGCAAACCTAGTAAACGACAAAAGTTTAGGCTTTTTTGGCCCAGGTCTACTACCATGCTTCCGTAATTATTATGGATGTGGCCTAAAACCGTATTTTCCTTTGAATACCACAGGTCTGCAACCATTATCGTAATGGCCGATCCGTAATACTTTCTGCTGAGACGATACATCCGCAATAATTGCGGATGTACTACGTGTCAGCATAGGGTGGTGACTTGAAAATCCCTAATATGTTGAACTGAATAATAAGGCAGATCCGTGTTTAAATCCGTAAACCCTTTTTCTTTTGTTTAAATTTTTCTCTTTTCTCTCTCACATATCTTAATCTTCATCCCTTGAATCCGTAAGGTTTTATCTTTTCTATCTCACATCTCTTAAACCTCACCCATAGTTTCTAGTATAAACAATTTTGGAGGACCATCAAACATCCAAGCATTCGATTTTTGAGACCTACACGCTTTGCTTCCGCTAGGCGATTCACGTACGTGTTTTCCCCAAGTCAATTAGCTTCAAGATTCCATAATGGCCGAGGTTAATTCTTGACTTCATATTTATCTAAGTTTGAAACCTCCACGGTGGAACCTAATTGTAACCGGAACATCCTATTTGCTTCATGCTATTTGCATTTTTTTATAACGTTTCATGCATTTAGAATGTAAAAATTGAGTTTAATGTTGATGTGTGTAAAGAGGAAACCATTAAGTTGAGTAAATTACACGTGGTTGCCACCAACTATCAACTCTTGTCCCTCATGGTTTGATAGAAACTGCGATTTTCTTCTTTGTGGTTTTATTATTATTTTCAATGATTTGTAAGTTATTGTTATTTTCGTTCTTATGGATTATGTTGTTTTCCCAGATGATTATAAGAAACAATGAAATAATATTAACACAATGGAAATAGTAAATCAGTCGGCTTGTCTATTGATTTAAATGTGGAATACAAAATACAATGTTTGCTCTTCGGCAACTGCTTCTCAATAGGCTGATATTACAAAATAAATGAGTCGACCTACTCTAGAGTTAGGAAGCTATATATATACCTTGAAGGTATTTACACAAATAGTCTCTCTATTTTATTATAAACAGAAATATAAACCTAACATTCTCTCCTTTTGTAATAAAGGCCGCTTCAGACAAATATTCTTCTTCTCGGGTGGTGGCCAAAATATACTTCAAATCTATGCATTACTCTTTGGTACTCCAGCTTCTTGTCAATTAAGTCCAAAGCATTCAGTTCTTGTCATGCGGGTCGAGCTTGTCAAGTCCTTTTCTCTCCAGCTCCAGCTTGTTTGACAACTTCAATTTGATTATCTTTAGGGTTCCATTAGAATAGGTTGGTAGCTTGCTGAAGCGCATGAATTTATTTTCTTCGATGTTGTTGGAGTACACAATGCCAAACTCGGGCTACTCTATCAACATAAATAAAGGCAAGGACTCTATGTCTTCCAGACTCTACTTCGGCTTCAACAAGTTTATCTTTGGTTGATTGCTTTCAACGCCCAACTGCAAGTCCGATACGTACCCAAGCATCTCTGAAAGAGCATGAAGTGCTTGATAGCTTTTAGAGCTATCTGCACGTCTTCTGGTCTGATAGTCCATTAACGAATGTACAGATACATCGTCTTGAAGTCTTCAAAACATAAGTGCCTAAAGTCAGCTTCTATGAACTTCCATTCCTTTTCGTCTGTTCTGAGAACAGTGAAGACTGGTAAATGGACATTCAAGAGTCTGTCGGTGTAGATGTTCTTAATCCCCACGATCTTATGCCTTAATTTGACCATTTCAAGCGGTTGAGCCTTTGCTTTTAGCATGTGCATATATTCTATGACTTGTAAGCTGTTGAGGTGAGTGATCCGGAGAACTCGAACTAGATCCAATTTGTTGATCATCTCTCTCATTGATTTGATGATAATCCCTTTTACCTTTCAAAGTATTATGTTTATGTTCTTTCAGTTCCAACAATCATCACTGAGTCTGTTCAGTGATTGCCTGAAACATGTATTGTAAATCCTACTACGATAACGATACTTCAAGAAGACAAAACTCACACCAAAGAACATTCAGTGAAAGTCGAAGAATAAAACTGAAGATTAGTGATTGGCGCGTTCGTGATCTGAAGCGGTATTCAGTGATTACAACCTGGTCAACATATATGTGAAGACTGCCCAAGCCTTAACGAATGTTGAAGAGACCTTCAGTGTTATTCCAGCATTCAACGATCAAATGAAGCTTGTTGTGCAAGATTGTTTTGTCTTGTCCTTCTACACACAAAGAACAAATCCATACCCTTTCTAGAGTACAGTACTGCAAGGAGCCGACTAGTCGACTCTAGTGCCCACCAACTCCACGGATGGATGTCTGCTCATGAATTGACAATTGTACTATTCACTGTAGCAAAGGACAAGCTTTCCTCCTAAATCTTGACGCGTGTTCAAACCTTTCTAATTTGCACTTAATGCAATAGGTATAAATAGATGAATGCTCTCTCCATGCAGAGAACACACACATATACGCACAAATCTAAAAAGAAGATTTACGCTTATCTTCAAGCAAGTTAGAATCCCTCTCAAGAATTCTAAAGTTCTTACCCAAGAAGAACATCTTTCCTTCTTTATTTTTTCCACAAATCTTTTCTATTTTGCTAAGTATACCTGTGTGTAATCTTAGATTGCTTTAGATAGGTTATCTTTACCTTGTCTATTTCCGCAAACAATCTACAAAAATCTGTATTGAACTTTCTCTATCAATATATATTTTTAAATACGAAAGTTTTATGTGTTTGTATTCATCCCCCCCTTCTACAAACTATTCGTCTAAAACTCTTGTAAACGCGACCGGGACCAACACAATTCCACAGTTCTTCTTACAGAGATTTTGATATTTGTATCTTCAAGGAATGGAACTCTGATTCTCGTTCTCTCCCACCTTTCTACATGTGATGCAGCTGGAGTACTCGGGCCTGCTGTTCTCTAACTTGTTGCAGGTTGGGGAATCGACCAATCTCTTTGAGGTGAATCAGGTAAGGTGTTGTTGAGATCGTTGATGTGGTCGAAATCCCCTTCTTCGAGCATTTCATCATCAGATAACGTGGAGAAGTCATCAATTTCTTCTTTGATTTGATGCGGTCGCAGACCTTCTTCATCGGATTCAATGTTGATAATTGGGCACGGGACCTCAGCAACTACAGTAGGCATTTGAGCACTTTGAACTTTAGAAGCCTCCGACTTTTCAACCATTGGCTCTGGTTCCCCCATGGCGGCTTGCTGATGCTGACCTTGTTGATGTTGAAACGATTATGCACTGGGACTTGGTTTTTGGATATGTCGAGTGATGTCATGGTCGGTGGTTCTTTGTCGTTTCTCCCCCTCATGGTGATCGGGGTCGTCATTAGCCATCATGTCTTCTCTTTGATCCACCCGCCCGACTCTTGCAAGTATTCAAGGATCTGAATCCACTCGAACAAGGTTTGGAAACCGGATATGATGTTGTCTGCCACGACATTCAGCTTTGTAGTGAGACCTCGAAAACTTCCTCGAACTTCGTCTAAAAATGCATGAAAATCCAGTCTCATGACATACTCAGGTTGGGTTTGTGCCCTGAGCATGCCTATAAGATCAGCTTCCACCTGTCTT